GTTTCTCTGTAAATATCCAGATAGCGGATGTTGTTCCGTTCGTGCAATGTCCACACCGTTCATCTCTTTATCATGTAGCGCTGATCGTCATTGCAAATACAAGGATCCTTTCATGAGTATGGCTGGGCTTGACATCGCAGCTGAGGTAGTTTTGATCTTTATAAAGCGCATCTGCACACAATTTATAGAGTGATTCTTTTCATATACACGGAACAATCCTTCAAGGTCAAAGCAGAAAATCGGTTCTGGATCACCATCTGGAAGGTCTGTTGGTCGTGTAGGCATCTTTGACAACCTTTCCAGACATAATCACAGCATGACTGAATAGTCGTGTTTACGGGCATCTTGACCATATTCCGAAGTATTGATGTTGATGTAACTTTGAGGGAGACAAACATGTAGCCAATCGTCCACCTAACTCTAACCTAAACCTACCCTATGCCGCCCAAGACTTTTTCCTCTACCACCTCCCACTCCCTGTCAGGGGAAAGTCACTACCCGCTCGTCCATGAGGTAGAAAAGATCTTTGACTCGTACTTTTGACACGATACCCTGAATCAGTCCGTAAATCGACGCATCTCTAGCCATTTTCCCAACAAAACTGCTGCCAAAACAGCTAAAGGTCTTCCTTTCTTGCTGGATGTCTTTATGTATGGAGGAATATCTCTTCACGAGAGCAGTTGTTGATTCGAGTGACGTTTCCCGTTTCAATGTACTCGGCATCCAACCTTTTTGAAATTTTTGCCTTTTACCTGGTCGCTTTTTGAGATGGATCTTCCAAGGTATTTCATCAGGTATCCCATGAGATCATATGCCACTCCTACCGGGAATCTATCGTCAGATGGAACACGTTCAAAGGTGAATAGGTAGTTGCAGTGGTTGTTGCGTAAGATGGAAGAAGCGAGTGGGTCAAAGTAGGAAAGTTGGGGGCACAAACTTGAGTAGTCATTCACTTCCCTTTTATCATCCGGAGTAATTTAAATGACATGGATTGGGGCTTTTGGCAATCTTACAATATATCTATCCGTGATGTTGAGGTCACCGGCGTCGGACTTGCGATATTCAATTGCCATATTCGATTGCGTCGACATTTTCATCGCGTCTGGACATGTTCCTCCTCTGTTAACGCGATTGGGTTTGTTATTGGTATCACTAATCCGTACGGAATATCTTTAACGATGTAAACAAGTGCATATACGAGTCCTTTGTTAAACAAGACTCAAAGGAGTAAGATGGCACTCCATGTCGACTCGTACAAGCAAATGATTCTTGAAGATTGTGGCAAGGCTCCCAATGGAGCTCGATGAAATTGCAAGTTTAATGCTCTTCAAGCAAAGGATCTCCTTGCAACATGAAGGACACAGGAACTAGAAATTTGTGGTGAAGGAGCAGAATACCATTAGATTAAAATTCGGTGTTGATGGAGGTTTGATGCGTGGACGATCTTTGAAAGATTCGCTGTCTGCAAGAGATAGCCACGGGCTGGATCTTAATCGTTTTAAATCATATCACATTGGTCGAAATACCAATTACAACACTAAAGCCATTACAAGAATACTACTTGTACTATATTATCTATCGACCATGTACATCTCTTATTTAGATCACTCTCTAACTTCCCGACCGCATTTTGAACACTGATGACCGTGGGTGGCGCCCCATACAAGATCAATAAAATTGCAGTGACGGCATTTGAGATAAAATGCCCCAGGAATGTTATTCTTTGCCGTTTCACGCTTGCACCCGTCACACTTGTGGAAACGTGTGCCGCCATCGACTTTGTCGACGCGACCGCAGTGAGGGCACACGACGCGATACGTTCCCAAAAGGTGTCCTGCAACCATTTCGCCGATGCGAAGGACGCCAGGAATGATGACATCTTTAAAACCAGCGGCAAGGAGAGCCGCGGCGATAGCGGATTCAACTGCCATTGTTTTGTCGAGTTGTTGAAGTTGTTGTTGATGATGTTGTTGTTGTTGTGACGAGCTTTGTTAGGTGCAAAATGGGACGAGGTGCATGTTCGTGCCTTTATATACGAAATGGGGACACCACATAAAAGGCCATGAAAACAATGGAATCATAGTGAAGCATATGCTCACCGTGAAATGGAATATTGCCAACTGTGGCTGCTATATTATTTTTTGGTGGGGAAGGAAACAAACAACAGCCCATAATGGAGCGGGATAGTCTACTGCTACCTCAAATGTCTTGCATATCTTGCAAATGCGTGGCTTTACCGCCTTTGAATATCAAAATACTCACTGATTGAAAGCTCGTACTGCGGCCGAGGTGCCTATTTCAATCCTGTTGACAAGCTGTGAATGATTTCAAGCATTGGAAATGACATTATAATGTACAAAAGAAGAAGATCATATTGTGACAGATGTATTCAAACAGCCAACCCATTTCCCGCACTCACCGTCCGCACCCTCCGACACCCATCCGTCCATCCACGCTTTCATAGTGCGGAGCCGATGGGTATTGGCACTAGTACAAAGATTCCAACCAATTTAATCATAATTTTACTCGATTTAGACTCATGAACTATGGTTTGATTCAAAAAATCCTATGTAAGTCATCGTCCATTTTCCCAGGCTTTCATCTTTTTCTACAGATATCATCATGCCACCAAAGAAGAAGCAAAAGCTCGAAAGGCTCGAAAAACTTGACAAACCTACTTGCTTACATACCTGCAACAAGACGTCCTTCACAAAGGCTTTCTTGCCTAATGAGACCTACCGGCAGCGTCTTCTAGATTACATCGCCATCATCCATCAACTCGCTGACCATGCTTCCCACGCTCTCAAATTCTACATCCTATATGCACCAACCTTTCCCACGGTAAATGAAGATACAATCGAAGCGATTCTCTATCTTCTCAACAAGGGGGAGGCTTGGCATCCAAGAAAGGAAGCAAAGAAGGCATGGCGGGATTGTTTGCTGCCATATGTTCAACGGTACTGCCAAATCATCGGCTTTGTTCACCCAAATCTACGAGGCGAGCAGCAATCAGTCAATTATCTGACAGCGAGTATGATGACAAATCTGAAGGTCAACGTCCAGGAACACTTCATGACGATGCTGCTCCGGTACATCAATCTGCGGCTCGATGTGAAGGGACAGAAGCAGCGACTGCCACTGAAAAGCGATGCGCGAAACGCTTTCTTTGCTCGTCTTCGCTACTTGAAGTCAATTTTCCTTTTTGATATCGTGCCCGAGTCGCTTGATGACTTGACTGCTGAAGAGAGTGAACTTCTAGAAGAGATTTGGTCCCTTAACATTCCCCTTTCTGACGACCAGCCACTCGCATATTCGGTTGCTGTAGACCCTCTCGCCTTCTTTCCTGCATACTGCAAACTCTCTGGGCTGTATGAACGACATGGCTTCCATCAGTTCAGCGCGATACCTCTGCGTCGCTCGCTCATCCAAAGCCATGTGCGGATCGACACCATCATCCTCTACTCTCACCTTCTTTGCATCACACGACGAGAAGCGGAAACTGTCGAAAAGGTCGATTTATGGTTGCGCGTGTGCAACCTGCGGAACAAGGCTTTTCGGTCTCGCCGCGGTATGCAGTTTGAAGGCTCGGTCACGACGGATGGAACCTCGGTGTCTGTATACCTAAAGCACCCAGAAGCTGACAAGTATGGAAAGCGCAGCGGAGGGAAAAAGTCAGCAAACACGACGGAGGCAGAGGTTAAAGCACAATATGTGGAGAAAAACTTACCTGCTTGTCGAGCAGCAGAGAATGTTGTTGTTATCGACCCAAACAAGCGCGACATTCTCTACTGCCAAGACAGCAATGGTACAATGTTCCGTTACACCGCCAACCAGCGAGCCGTGGAGACTGGAAGCCGTCGATTTGCAAAAGAACGGCAGCAGATGAAGAAGGAAGCGGGAATGGACCTCATAGAATCACGTATCCCTAGTCACAAGACAATGAACCTCATGGACTTCATGCGCTATCTCCTTGTTCGGCGCGCTGATTGGGATCGTCGCAAGGAATTCTACTCCACCCTGCCCACACGCGATGGAAATGGCACTCCTTCATCAATCGGCAGCGAAGCGAATCAGACCTCATATCCAACATGCGCAACAAGTTTGGGAACTTTACCGTTGTGATGGGTGATTGGAGCGACGCCGGTCGAACTGCGAGATTTCAGACCTCATCAAAGACAAAAGGCTGGCGCACCCTCTTTAAGCGGAACAGGATCAACTGCTTCCTTCTCGACGAGTACAAGACCTCATCTGTCTGCCCTCACTGTTCCTCTGGCGTTGAAAAAGGCTTCAAAACACGACCTCATTCAAGACCTTGGCGCCGTCGCGAAGGCAAGATTGAAAAAGTCCACGGATTGCTGGGTTGTACCAACCCTAACTGTTTACAGCAATCCTGGACGATGCGCTACTGGAACAGGGACACGCTGAGCACCTGCAACATGCTGATGATTGTGCAATCAATGTTGGATGGGCACTGTAGACCAGAAGTGTTCAGCAGGAGTGTTCCAGCCGTAGCTTAGATTGGTTAGATTAGGTTTTCCGAGCCGGTTGTCGCGCGGTTCAATCCCTGGTGCGGGTGTCCGCACTATGAAATCCTATTGTGCAGTCGTAATTTCAATGATGATCGTGCATGTGTAAGTACTAAGCCGCAATTGGGTTCCGATCGACACCACCCATCATCGCTTTCCATCTGTCCGTCCATTCTTCACTCGCACCTTGCGTCGAATAGTGTCAACAGTGCGAATCCTTTGGCAACTCTTTGATCAACTTGCTCTTGATGCCCGGGAAACTCACCTGGGCTATCTTGCATGAATTTGATATACATTGGGTAAAGATCAATGAGGAGAATAACCATTTTCTAGAGCCCCCACCATCTTTTTCCTCAATAACCTGCCATACAGTGTTGCTCTTGTTTTTGTGTTTCTAAATCATCCTGTCCACCTTCATGTCTTTCATGTCTGTATTTGCGGTAAATACTCCATTAGATACAGCATAGACATGCTTCTACGTGGTGGTCAATTAACGATCTCGACGCGTTTTCTTGACACGCCCAAAGTCGCTGCCCCACACAAGTTGCAAGTTTCTTTTTTTTTGCTTCAAAACAAACGGACGGAATTTGAAAGCGCCTTACGAGATATTCTAAAGATATTCTTCATGACCGAGTTGAGCAAGGCAGCATTTTCAAGAATATGTTTTGCTTTGGGTAATGCGATATAATGGATTTATGCTTTCCTGTTCATACACTAAACCCATAACATGCAGGGAAACCCATCGCCGTCCTCCCAAATCCCCAGGCACGCATTCCTGCATATTTACTTCATTATGAATTCTCTCTGGCGCTCCTTTCTTTGCATTCCAAGCAGCACTATGTATCATCCGCTCAATTGACGCACCAACATACTGCCGAGGATTTGGCAACGGCAGAACATCTTCTCTGTGTCATAAATTTTCCACGCAAGCAGATAGGAAAGTTCAAGTCGGATTGCCTCACCACAGGCGTGCAAGACGATCAGGCACCAGATCCTGTAAAGAAGCGAGAAACGACCGTTGCCGTGGGTGTCCTCAACATGGCTGAGTCAGGCAACAACAACATCTTGCCTGGATCTAGAGTGCACATAGACGGTCGTCATGAAGTCGTTGACACGAATGATAGAGATTTATCTTGGGAAGAGTTTTGTCAATTTGAGATTCGTGTCGGGACGGTCCTATCTGGGGACGGAAATGTAGATTTTGGGGAAAACTGGGGTGTTCGCAGATGCAAGTCTGCCATTGAACTTGGAATTTACACGGGAAAACAAGTTTTGGCCGTGCTGAATGTAGAGGATGGGCCGTGGGTTTTAAGTGTTGGAAAGACTGGATTAATAGGACCGCTAAAAAAGGTCTCTAACGGGATCCGCTTGGCTTGATTTTAAAAAGTTTCATCCGAGTTTTAGTGTCCTGTACATGGTGAGCTATTAATGAAGAAAGGGCGCTGCAATCCTTCCATCTCCATGGGACGATGCTTCAATGACATGGCCGAAAGCATTGCCCGACTTTTCATGTTTGATGCGAGGCGAACCGTTGCTAGGCAACATTTATGAACATCGGAATTTCGGAATGGCATCTGATTGGCTGGCCGGCACGTGATGAATCAACGCGGCTATAAAAGGAGCCCACCGCGTCTTCCCACACTCTACTTTTCCCCATCAGACTCAAACAACGACCGTCGCCGGGACGGACTTTTTCTCTAGGTGGGTGGGGGACAACCATGGTTGCTGAATCGGCTTGCAATTCCAAAGTCCTGCTGGGGCTGCAACACGCCAGTTTATGGCTGGCCCTGTCACAGTATCTATCGTGCCTTTTGGCTGCTGGGGCTGTGGTCGGTCCGGAGCACGGCTGCCCTGTTGTGGTATCTATCGGGGATGGAGGGTTGTAAGCAGCCTGCTGGGGCTGCAACACGCCAGTTTATGGCTGGCCCTGTCACAGTATCTATCGGGCCTTTTGGCTGCTGGGGCTGTGGTCGGTCCAGAGCACGGCTGGCCTGTTGTGGTATCTATCGAGGTGTGATCCTGATCCTGCTGGGTCGGCAAGTCTACTTGTGGCATTGGTGTATCATGGTCTTTTGGCGTGAGCTAACTTCCACCCACTTCTTTTTTAGATTTCGTGTTTCTCTACAATTTCATTCAGCTTTGCTTTATGTAAAATATACATGACGTTGAATATATTGATTATTGTTTATTCCATATCGAACAGTCTATTTAGACGGTTACCGCCGTGTATTTTCTACTGTTTCTCATTTCCCAACATATCCCAATACTCATCCTATCAGATCATTATCGTAGTGTTGGCATTGGTTTAGTACAGGCATACCAGTTTTTGGGTAGGGTCGGTGCTTACATAATCACATGGTCAAAAGGCTTTGATTCTAAACTTTCTGGAGCGATGGGCCAACGGGGCAACAATGTCAGCAATTCCACCCGCGTCGCCGGGCAAGAAGCGAACACTCCCCGATATTTCCGCTCCGATTAGCGGGTCGCAGGGCGGGTCTGTGTCTCCATTAGGCAAGGCTGCGGGTCAACCGAACTCGCCTTGGTCGCTGATTAGCTCCGCAAAGAATGTCAGAGCGGCAGGATCAACGTCATCCTTCTCCTCGTCTGTATCTTCGCGGTCGTTTTCACTTCGAGGCCCTCCATCTGCATATGGAGTAAGATCGCATCTCCCGCCTGTTCCAGGAGGATGGGTTTCATCATCATTGATTACTGGGCCAATCTCACGAAAATCGTCAGAAATATCGATTCGGCATGGCGGAGTAGAGAGGGACAACAGCAGTTCTGCCATACTAGCTGGGAATGATAAGCAGGACGTGTTAGGGGCAGACATTACTGGTAGCAAAACTGCAATGACTGTCAGAGCCGCATCAGATCGACGACCAACCATGACGAAAGGACAGGGCAATGGTCTCTCACACCTACCGTTTGGTGTCCAGCAAGGTGTTTTACTTCCGGGTCTCCGAGCTGGAACTGCCCCGTCCATCCATGGTCGCAAGTCATTAGTTCCCCCACTACATTCGAGAACCGCCAACAACCACGTTCGTGGTGTCATGGCTGCACTTGCACACTCTGAAAACACGCGTGATCAATGGCAGTATGCGCGGGACAAGTGGAAATTGGCCATTAATGCTATCCGGCGACTTGTCAGAGCCACATCCTTGTTTCGGTTGGGACCTATGGCGAGCATTCTGCCTGCGTTTATCCAAGAAGAAAACAATAATCTTGCCAAAAAGGCAATCAAGCCGCCTGAAGCGGTGGCCAAATCGAAGGTGAGCTGACGTGAGGTGAGGAGGTGTGACCAGATCAGGTCTTTGGTCTGTCTGTGATTATATGCTGCTCGTCTTGTTGGTCTCATCATCCGCTGCACCGCAGATTCACCTCCTCCTTTCAAAACCTCGCGGCCTTCGAACAAACGCTGATTTTGCTGTAGTCGATCCGTATCTTGTGAAATTACTCCCATGCCTACAGCGCCTTAGTTCCGCCCAACGCAAGCAAATGTATTTAGGTTCCCTGTCTTACGAAGTTCACCCCCCGCGCACAATGATACTCCGCGACAGTGGCACTGCAGAGAGTGTATATTTTGTTCTCTCAGGCTCTGTAGAAGTTTATAAAGACCATCGTGGTGTCCGGCTAAAGCAGAACTTGGTTGGTCCGGGTGGAATTGTGGGAGATGTTTCGGCGCACCATTTACTCGCTGGAAGTGGTACGAAACGATTCATGAACGTGATATGTTTAGGTTTTTGCGAGTTTCTGCGAATGGATCTGGGTAAGTTACTATTACACATGTATGAATATCCTTGGCAATGCTCAATAGTTGGGTTCTATTGCTATTCGTATAGATGAGTATGTTCATATCATGTTCGGGCACGATGGTAGCAACATTGACAATCTTGTTAGCCTTCTCAACTCTCACCCCATATTTCAAAACGCCTACGAAACAACTCTACTTAAAGCCGCGCAAAATTCCGTTCTTGGCACTTTTCCCGCTGGTTCAACCATCATTAGCCAAGATGAAGTCGCGGAGCGCATTTTCGTTCTTTGTAAAGGGACCGCGAGAGCCGTTCGAGGCGTTCCGTTCGTTCGAACGCATACCGTGCAAACTGGTGCAGGAACGGTGATACCACAGCAGGTCATACAGCCATTCAGCGGAGATAGAGATCCCAAAACAGGCGAGGAGCTGTTTGTCGAGGAAGTGTTTGTTTCCAATATCGGACCTGGGGGCACGTTCCCTGCCTTGACATTGCCCGTAGGAATGACATTGGATCCGACAAAAGCTAAAACAGCCGAATTTTGGCCTCGATCTCAACCCGCCCCTCAGCCCAACCCCATACCAAACCAGGTCCCTGCACCGAGTCGCACCATCACTTTTCAACAAGATCCAGTTCCCCTAAACTTTGCTGATATAACTGTATACGCTGAAACCGAAGTTCAATGTGCTGTCTTTACGGTAGAGGCTTTCCTCAAACTGGCAACAAATGAAATGGTGGACTATGTGTTACAGCAGTCGAAAGAGTTCAAGATTCCGGTGGAGGCTTTACAGGAACAATATTTACGGGAGCTCCGCGCTGGATTGGGTTCAGACGCCGCGAGACTCTCTGGCGAGCTGGGTGGGGGTGTGAGTATCCTCATGCCAGAAGGGCGAAGAGCGGTGAAATAAGTATAGATTGTACATACATCATTTTGACATCCTTAATCTATTGACTTTAATGATACAGTTACTCCCTATGATACAGCTATGCAAAGAATTTACAAAGAGCGTAGCGAGCTACGCTCGCCCTCATAGTAATTTGCAATCATGAAGGCAATATCTAATGATTGTTCATAGTTCAATCTGACGGGGGTGATAACCAAGAGTTTACTAGGCAGTAGGGATTATCGGACAAATCAAGTGCGCGCTTACCTAGGATCACAAAACGTCTGATAGTTACGACTGAGGTCGGCCTCCTGCAGGTTCATCGACCCACCAATTGTCTCTGTAACAGGATCACCAGTCAACTCAAAGTGAACTCCCCCGAGCTTGGATCCACACTCTTTATGAATCCGGAAGGCTTTGCTGAGCTCCTCGGCGATGTGATTAAAGCGTCTGGTCTTCACCCCCGTAACGGTGGTTTCTGTGTTACCATGCATAGGATCGCAGCACCAAACCACTTTATGCTTCGTAGCACGGACCGCTTGGATGTGAGCGGGAAGATAGGTGAAGATCTTATCATGACCATATCTCGTAATCAGGGTCACCTTCCCAGGTTCAAAGTTTGGGTCAAGAATATCTAACAGTGGTGCGAGCTCTTCAGGCTTCATAGATGGCCCAACTTTCACGCCAATCGGATTTACAATTCCTCGAAAGTACTCGACGTGACCCCCATCCAATTGTCGTGTGCGGTCGCCAATCCAAAGATAATGTGCACCCAGATTGTACCACTCTCCATCAACTTTCCTGGTGAGCTGTTGTTCGTATTCGAGTAGAAGCCCCTCATGCGACGTGAACATATCGACCGTCCGAATGGCGTCTCTTGAATTATCTTCAGAGTCAGCTCCAATCGTACGCATAAAATCGAGAGCATCATTTAAGCGACGGACAATCGCCTGGTACTCGGCCCGTACGGTGGGGTTTTCGACATGTCCAAAGTCCCATGATTTGAGATTCCAAGACTCAGGATGGTGCAAATCAGCAAAATCGCCAGCCAGTAACGCTCTGACGTAATTAATAGTCGCTGCCGAGTGAAAGTAAGCTCCTAGGAGACGCTGTGGATCCGGCTTGCGCTCGGCGAGATCAATGCCATTCACATTGTCGCCACGGAAAGCGTTGTACTCGACACCGTCAATAACTTCAGTAGGCTTTGATCGCGGCTTTGCGTATTGTCCGGCCATTCTGGCTATTCGTGTGACTGATGTCCGCCCACCCCACACAAGGATCAGTGACATTTGTAATAGGACCTTTAGCTTGTTTTCGATCGGTTCCTAAGCAATACCCAAACCTTAAGTATCAATTGAGTAAGGCGAATATGGTACGATAAAGACCAACCTGCGAGCAATAGTCAAATAGTTCTGCACAATCACCCCCCTGAAGCAAGAAGCGCTTGTTCTCTGCTACTTCGGCAAGCTGCTGCCTCAACTTTTTGATCTAGAACCAATTCCCAGATGAGTGTCGATAAACATGCTCAACAAAAGCAATGCGCATGCGGTCTGCGAGATCATGAACGATTTCGACCACCGTGGTTTGTCTGCTAACCTCTTGGTGACTGACCAATGGCGGCAGGCGATCCAGCTTTTGCAGCACTTGCTGTAGTTGTGCAGGATTATCATATGCAACGTCCTGAAGAACCTTCTTGGATCTCCAAGAAGCAGGACTCCAACTGTTCATTTCTGCGTCACCATTTAGGTGAGTAGATTGACTCTCTGTCATAATTGCACAATGATCGCCAGAGATCCCTGGTCGGCAAGAGTTTGAAACAGCGACCGGCATCGAGTTGTTGGCAGTTGAAGCAACCGATTTCATTAAGCCGTTTATGTCTATTATGAATTTACCAGCCACACAGCTGGTGAACGGCTTCGAGACGATCTTACGATCTCTTGATTGTTAAATGAGTGCCAACGCCCAAGCAGCATCTGAGCCAGAAGCCGATCGACCATGGCTGTAGATACAACGTAAGTTCTTGAGACAGAGTCTAATTTGTTGGGTAGCACCTTCTAACATGCACTTTGGGAGGCAGAATTGTGTCCGCTCCGGGAAAGGTACTCTTGACAGGAGGGTACCTCGTGCTTGATCAACGGTATAAGGGATTGGTCGTAGCGACAGACTCGCGGTTCTATGTTGCTATACGCCAAAGGAGCAAGCAAGACTCTCCTTTCCCGACCATCACCGTAAGGTCACCACAATTTACGGATGGACGCTGGACCTATCTCGTAAAGTCCCGCGAAGATGGAAGCGGAATCGAACTGACTTCTATCGAGTGAGTAGGTTTTCAAATATCAAATACAGACTCTTCTGCAATAATCTGGTCATCAGCTCACCGCTAACTCCCGCACTTCAGTCATGACACAGAAAATAGATATGTTGAATGCACGCTGAGCCATACGTTAGAGGTTGTTGCGGGGCTGGTGCCTAATTGGAAAACCAAGATGTCAGCTGGAATGGATATTGTCATTGTTGGAAGTAATGACTTTTATTCGCAAAGGGAGCAGGTGAGGTCGACCATCTCAATGACATATATTATTCACGGAACAGCTGACAAGCACGCTAGCTTAGGAGCCGGGGCCTGCCCTTGACGAGTGCTTCTCTTTCATCCCTACCGCCGTTCTGTAGCACGCTTTGCAGTATACGTGACGTTCATAAAACCGGGCTGGGTTCATCGGCTGCCATGATTACATCTCTGGTTGGAGGGATTCTTAGTCACTTTGGTGCCATACAGCTCCCTGCTGCTTCTATATCAATGACCGGAAACTCGAATAAGATTTCCGAGGTTGAGCGGTACGCCTTGTCGCTCGCCCATAATTGCGCACAACTGTGCCACTGCCTCGCTCAGGGCAAAATCGGGAGCGGCTTTGATGTCAGCGCTGCAGTGTTTGGGAACCATTCGTACCGAAGGTTTTCGCCAACAGTCCTGGATCCATTGATGGAACATAAAAATGCGTCCCCATCATCAAGACTTAGAGACCTGGTCGATACAATTGACCCTAAGCGATCACATAGGTATGGATCTTTGGTGATGTACCGTGGATGTATTGTGCCTCGTGACAAAATAATCCGACCATTTTGTCCATTTCAGCTGGGACAATGAAGTGAGTCAGTTCCACTTGCCGCCCAATTTCACTCTGATGCTGGCAGACATCGACGCTGGGAGCAGCACGTACAAACTCGTTTCAGAGGTTCTTAGATGGCGACGAACGCACACTGACGAGGGTATTACGTAGTATTGACTGATATGACCGGACGATTCCTAATTGGTTTCCGGTTCATGTAGCGGATGCCTTATGGACGAAGCTTGATCTTGAAAATGCACGCATCGAGCAGTGCATGCGTGATTTAAGCCGAATTGCAGAGCACCAGAAGGCGGGGTATGAATCTGTACTTTCGATGTGCGCAGAAGTTAAGGCATCGTTGGTAAGGTGCATCCCAAAATCGTACAACGTTGCGGATATACAATTGACTACGCCCCCTGGTAGTGGTCCAATCTTGATGTCAATGACGACCTTGTAGACGTTAAGAACATCTTCAGTACGGTCTATGAAACATTTCAGGTATGTGCATAAGAGGCGCAATCTGTCGCTCCAGTAAGTTTTTTCAGCAGCCCTTGGTTTGCTTATGTCAAGATGCCGCGCCGTAGAATGTACGAAAGTACCTGCGAGAGATGTCTGTGAAAGCGGGCGTGCCAATAGAACCTCCAGAGCAAACGCGACTGCTAGATGCGTGCCTTGACGTTCCTGGAGTCGTAATGGCAGGCGTACCTGGAGGTAAGGCTTATTCTTGCTGTGAGCATGTGAGTGGATAAGCCCATTGAGTTGACGTACATCATTAGCTGGTGGGTACGATGCAATTTTCTGCTTGGTCATCTCCGAAACGGCGCGGCATGAAGTGCGACAGCTGTGGAGTACTTGGACGGAAATGGCGGTTGGGCCATTATTGACTCAGCATAGTAGTACAGGACTGGTTAGAATAGATAGACCAGGAGATATTCCTGGCTTAGAGAAAGCAATGTGTACATTCGAATGAAAAACTAGAGTGTGGTGGGCATTTGATCACTTTTAACATTTCTTAGACGGTCTTCAAACAACGACCGTAATTCCTATCTAGAGTGTATCTAGTAATCCTCACCTCGAACATCGTCACCATTCTAACGCTCATGCTTTTACTGGTCGCCTGAGCAGCCAGCTAAACAAAGTCTCAGTATTTTGACCTGCCAATCTTAGTATTGTCCCAGACTTTTCGTCACCGAATCGGACATCGCCACTGACACCAATCACCGTCAGACCTGCGCCGTCTTCTCGGTCGACGATAGTGACGAGTCCATAGCAACTTCCATGTACTGCGACAAACGCTCGTCGAGCAAGGTCTTGCAGATCCATTTGGAGAATCAGATCATCCGGGTGCTTCATTGGCTTGTACCGATCGTCAGCGTTGGCAGTTATGCTTCCTGTAACTTGCTGACCTTTCGCCTTGCCGATGGAGATGATGCTCAACTTTCGGACCACGCCCAAGATTCCGTTGGCGTTTTCTTTGGCATCTTTCGTGCCAAGATCGAGTTTGACGGGAGGAAAAACTATAACATCCGCGAAAGGGTCTCGAGCGTCCCCTGCAACTAACACCATGTACTCGGTACCCTCCACAAAATCTTCCACCAGCCAATCCTCGCCTTCGGGTAGCTCAGCTAGAAGATCTTTTAATTCTACCTCATCTTTAACTTTTTGCCCTGAATTTTGTCGAATATGCTTCCGCATGCTTGGTTTGATATAGACTGGGAATCGTATGCCATCTGCAGACATTGCCTGCATAATTTCTCCTACATCTTGTCCCCTACGGGCAACCACGGCGCTTGATACGCTGAGCCGGTTTTTGAGGAGGCCTTGGCGCATCGCTTGTCTATCCCGGCTCTCGACAAAGAATCGTGCGTTTAACCCTACCGTATGAGCAAAACCAATTTCTTCGATAATTCGGGCAACTTCCAGACCATCATCACCCAAGCAGGCATTGAACAGAAGGTCCTCATCTTTGGAAAGCGTTCGTAGTGTACCCTCTACATCATCCACATGGTAAAGGTGGACAATCGGGTCGTAGTTCAGGGTCCTGAAGATTGACTCGAGCTCGCTCACGTATTCAACGTCCTTGCCGTAGCTGACGGCCAGCTTCCCCTCAGGATCAGGTATGCAAGATTCGGGATCAACGAGAACAGCCGAAACAATAACGTGCACAATAGGGTTTGGAACTAACGCCAGACTAGGATTTCTGATCAACTTGGCCACCTTTTGCTCAACTTCGAGTGGCAAAACCGGTGCAAGAGGCGATACATTATCCTGTGCTTCAGCCTTCTCAAGCGCGACCGCAGAGTCTGGCTCCGCTGTGATGAGTTCGGCATAGCTTCCAGAGGTGCTAGCAGCAGGTTCAAGGGGCTTGAGGGCAGAGCTCAGGAGGATTTGGAAAAAGTCCTGAGTCGTCTGACCAGCGAGTTGCAAAATGAATTCGGACGATGAACCTTTGCCAAGGCCGCAGGATGCATTGACCTCCAGTACATAAAATTTGCCTAGAGAGTTAATAGTCATGTGTTTAAGCAGGAGAGCAGCATTGCGGCTTCTCAATTCCAGAACCTACCGCTCACGTCTCGCTTACGAATATCCTGCAATAGTGACACAAGTTCACGGATCAACAAGTTGTGTAATTGTCTGTCGCGTGGACATGCATCCCTGCAAGCTGACATGAACCCACCACACGACCGTAACAATTGCCGGATACCGCCGCATAGGCACGACGAGCAAGATCCTGTAGTGCTGCGTAATCAATTGGGTCCTCAACGCGCTCATAATTATGTGCATACTGGGCTTCGTCCCAATTGCGAACATATGAAATGAAGCGCTTGAATCGGGGGAGCTCCTTGTTGAAGGCCCGCTCTGAAAGATGTCTGATTTAGGACGTTTCAGCATTTTTCTTTCCAAGCTCACTACATACCAGCTGGAGGGTATACGATTACTGTCTGGTTTTCGTCACGGCAGTTTCCTGAGACTAGCACCTGATACGTCTTACATTAGCAGAGTTGATGTCGGGTGATGCGCTCAAATGCTAAAGTATTACCGAGTACTCTTGTCCATCAATATATTCTTCCACGGTCAAATTTTCAAACTCCTTTAGCAGCTCTGTGCATTTCTTCTGAACTTGCTCATAGTCATGACAAACCGAGTTATCGTCCAGTCCGACAGAACCGTAGCTATCGGAAACTTTAACAAAAAGTGGATACACCATTCCCCAGTCCTCAATCAATTTCGCCAAGTCAGAGGTTTTGGTTACAGCAATACCGGGCGGCGTGGACACAAGGCTCTCTCGAAATAGCTCCTTCATTCCGTTCTTGGTCAACGTATTGTTAATGAAAATGGAGTCGCACCCGACTACATTTGGGTAGTTCTTCTTTTCGAGATATGCAGCTGTCGCAGTCGATTAATTTCACGTTTGGCACTACGTAAACAAAAAGGATAGGTACGCACCTACGCTAGGGCCTGGAACTCCATCAATATCACTCCCATCGCAAACATTCATAATAAGGTCATCCAAAGGAATTTCATCAATTTGTGCTTCAATGTTGCTCAGTCTTAGAAGGTGTACAACGGGATCAAATTCCAGTTCCGTAGCCAGGGTTTTCAGCTCTTGAATGTAGTCTTCTTTTTCAGAGTTGTGGGTAAGCTTTTCCGCTGCGCTACGTACAGCAACATCGTCCTCGACAACGTCCGGAACCAAGATATGCTGTGAAAAAAAGATGAAACGTCTAAGTTCTGCTGCGGCGCTCCTTCATGTTGAACAGGTATTGTATGAACCGTTCATGTTCGGGAAACTGCATACCAGCTTTTTGCCTTTGACATTCAACCTGCGAACCGGGCCATCTGCCTGCGAGTAGCGTTTGGTGGCCGCTTGCAAGTCTGGTTTTGCTTTCAGCATATTTCGTGTTTAATTGTGTGAGTGTGAAATGAGAGAAAAGCTTCAAGTGGTTTCGACCAGCCGTGACAGCAAGCTGCAGCAGGGAGGCTGCGAGACGCGAGGTGTGACGCGCTCGTCCTTACGTGAGCTGGCCATGATCAGCGAAACCTGTGCGGGTGGGGGAAGCAACCACCGCCCAGTACAATGCCCCAGGTCAATCGCCGTAACAAGTGGCTGTTTAAAAAAGAAAAAAAGAAGAAAGACTATAAGTTGTCTGGTGAATTGCCCAAAAATTCATAGCGGACAATGCTCAGTAATGGAAAGAAAAAGAAATGGTGGTCCTATCATAGAAGCGACGCGAGCAGGACTTGAACCTGCGCGGGCAGAGCCCAATAGATTTCTAGTCTATCGCCTTAACCACTCGGCCATCGCGTCTCGATATCATGGTAAAGATCCATTTGAACAAGTCCGCATTTTACCTATAAAGCAATCCTTGTAATTCCGCCAAATAAAGGTAAATTGCGAGAGTCCGAAATGGGTGACGACTTGACTGAGAAAGATCGACCAGCAGCAGATCTTCGCAGCATTTTCATTCGCGTCGCGTCTTTCCGTCGTTTGGCAGCTGCATATAGTCGAACACTATGCAGGATGTGACGGATACGACAAGCTCCGACTCGGCAGAAGCCTTACTTCTTGCGTTGAGCAGTCCTGGTCAATGCACGGGCGCGCTGTCAATGCGAATTCGTGCGTTCCTTGCTCCAGCACTGCAGCACGGTGATGTGTCGGGGCTATCAAGCACAGCTGGTGGAGGGTCTGCAACAAGGATACCAAAACGTCGGGGCACTGGAAGCAAGGTCACAGTTGGAACTACGACCACCCGCGCATCATTAATGCAGCCGCTTGAAACGATAGCGGCTCGACTAGGACCGTTTGCCATGAAAGTTCTTAACCAAGCTGTCAGAATGCTGACTGCGTGTGCAAACGAAAAGAATGCCAACAAGGTATCATCCACGCGGTCCGTTCCGGCAAAGCCTGCAGAGGTATCACCTGCAACGTGTGCACCAGTTCGAAAGACCAAAACGGCCACAAAGACACGTCCCCGGTTTGACTCTACGGCGACAACAAAGGCTGGAAGAACGACAATGGCTGACAGAAACGGCGTAAATTTGACAGTGGAGCAATGCCTCGCTGACTGCTCAGAGTGCTCTCTGGAGGCATTGAGTATTCTCCAAAGATACCTCACACTCAACTCTTTGGATCTTGAGAAGGTGGCCTGCAACATAGCCTCACGACTAGTGGATCTTGGAGAGGTTCGTATTTGAATGACACTCGGCGCCTGCGAGTTCTGTTCCTCATAATTTTCTCAATAGCTTGATCGTGGATTGAAGCTGCTCATGTACATACATCGCCGACTTTGGATAGAAAACTGCACATCTCCATCAACAACTCCGTCACTAAATGGGCGGAGACGGCCAGCTGCCTCTACACGAGGGAGAAAGTTGGGCACCACGATCGAGTCCCGTTTTCTGAAAAGTGCAAAGGGGCAAAGCTCCAGTAGCAGTAAAACTAACTGCAATAGAGAAGGAAAAGAACCGAGAAAGGGGTCCATATCAGAGTCGCTTTTACAGCTGCCATCTATATGCTCTCCGGACTCGTGTTCCGCTCGACTGTCGCTAGGTCTAATGTGCATGACTGTTGCACTGAAATGCTGGCTACTGGATCAGGCAAACAGAAATGCAATCGTAAGTACAAAGCTTTTATTCAGCAGGTAATGGGCTAGCAACTTCCTATCTGTAACTTGACATGGCATGGTTAAGGTAACGGAACAGCTGCTAATGAAGCCCTTCGGAATATATTCATTGTGTAAATTGCTCAAGACGATGGATGAAGTTAATGGCGCCAAGAGCTCTGAGAATGTGTTCCGCCTTTTATACAGAACTTCGCTCAACGAGAACGGTAAGGGACACAGTGCCGTACGTTCTACATAGTCCACTCTTTAATCACATATCGATATGCAGAGTGGGATCCTCAAGCGGCATTGAATCTGCGAAAATTGGCGCTTGCTTTTTATGTGGAATCTTCTGGCGTCACGTACGCCAACTTTGCGGAGCAAGTTTTCAAATTTGGGATGGCGTTTGAGCACGCGGGAAAGTCGTTGGGTAATTGGGGCAGGATTTTCCAGTGAAGTTCATGCGGGTCACTAAATCTGCATATGACCGCAGATGCAAATCAGAGGGCCGCTGCTCTATTAGACTTTTACATCGCATCGCTGGATCTCGCCGAGAAACTACTGGAAACGGGGCAGCGACCCCAACTGGCTTCTTGCAAGTGGTGCGATCATTGTGTTTATGTTGCGAAAAAGGTATGGCCAAAGGAGCTGCACCTTCCGTCCTTCCGGAAAGCTCAATTTTATTTAGATGAATCGAGCGGATATTGTGACACGAACGCTGAAGCACGCGCGGATGGTCATGAAAGCAACGGATGATCGCATTTCAACTGATATTGCATCGTGCGCGTTTTTGACGTTTAACAGATTAGAGGCGCTGGCGTTGAAGTTCACTGGTGCTGGTGAGGATGCTGGTGTGATATATTATGTTTCCGTTTAAATGACGCGTTCTCATGTAGTTTTCCCTTAGTGGTCAGACAGAGCGATCCCGAGGAAGCATATGCAGCGGCGGATGAGTTGGAATCTAGTCTGAGAGAACTTACCAAAACCCTGCAAGTTGGAGAATGTGCAGAAGGGACCGCACAGACGGTTCAACATTTTATTCGGTCAATCGATACTGTGGTTAAAATGTCTGGGGAAATCGCTAGCAAACCTGATTTTGATGAGAACAGTCTGATCCAGAAATTGGAGACACGGTGTTGGAGGCCAGTATTTATGGGTCTTGTTCAACTGAACGAAATATTGCAGACGAAGGTGGGGGTTGACTTCCAGTTTTAAACAGGTCAGGTCGTGTCCGTTTTTTAACGATATTTCAATCAGAATGCGGAAAGTGGAACAGTCTCGGACGCGGACCTCCGGAAACTGGTACCTGGCATTGTCGCCTGTTTCAATACGTTAGGGCGGATCGATAGTGGATGTGGTTTGCAAGGAAAGGGCCCTTTCCTGGATCATCTGAAAGCAGCGGCCGCGCTTTCAGCAAAACACGCATTCGAGGAAGGTCTCAGATCAACCGCAAATACCTGCTACTTCCTTGGCGGCATATTCTATAAAGAGAAGCACTGGGAGATGGCTGGGACACTCTTTAGCCTCTCATGCGACGTTCTTGGTAACTACCTGGACGGGGTGACGGAATCGCATAAAACGACAAGTGCCGAAGTCCAACTGCAGGTTTCCAAGCGATATGAGCTCTGCTCCATATGTTACAGTATGCTACATGATTATGAGGTATGATTTGCTATATGCTCATTAAAAACGCTCTGCTGCGCTTGACTGATTGTGACGCTGGTTGTAGACTTCGCTGATGTTCATCAAGAAAGCTATATTGCAGCTTCTGTCGCTCCCCGTCGTGGAATCAGCCGAAGACTCTGCACCTCCTGATCCGGCTTTACTCAGACTGGTTGATCGCTACGTGAAAACCAGAACGCCAAGTCGTCCTTATATCCCTCTCATGGAATTCGTCGGCGGATCCGATTCTCCTGGTCAAATGGAAAAAGTAATCCCCTTAGCGGAATATGAATTGAAGCTATTACAGGGGATCGAAGGCAATCCCGGAATATATTCAGGACAAACACGACTTATTGATGGACTTTTGGATTGGTATCAAGAACAATCCTTCCCGATACGTCGTTCCAGGTCAGCATCGATGATTTCATTACGATTGCATGATTATTTTCCTCAGTCATAACTCGCCTATCCACCAGAATGCTCCTCGAGAAGGCCGAAGTTCTGCGAACATGTGATATTGAATCAATAGGCAGTGTATCCGATGCTGAAGCTTTATGCAAAGCTGCCATAGAGCTCTTAAAAGCATCGGTGTGTAGAACGCTATTGTTTGTTGGATGACGTCGACCATTGTAGACTCATGAGCAATGGGTTTTTCTCGGAAGAGATGTAATGACAGTTACGGCAATGATCGGGATCGAATCAATGAATGTGACAACGACCTAGCGCTGGCGTATTCTTATTTAGGGATGTGTATGAACGATCAGGACCGGTATCAAGTCAAACCTTTCACCATTGCTTTGCAAATATGGAAGAGATTACTGGTTCGCGTTCCACAGTACACTTATAGTACGTTCAAGTGAAAACCATCAGTTATGAGGGAATTGTCCTGCTCACTGTTGTGCTCCACTCGAATAGACGCCAAACCAGGACCGAAAAAGCCAAAAGCCAGCGCCTTTTTCGCGGACTTACGCGCAACGTACCACCACATTCGTATGGTTCTTTCAGTTGATAGTTTGCCTCCGAATCCCGCTCACCGCGCAGACATTTATCTTATATAGGGAGGTTAACCGATTACTTTGAAATGTTGAACCAACCTCTCAATCGCATCTTGTGCGGACGCCTGCTTCTTCGGTTGACGACGTTGCTGAGAGATACCGATGATTTACGAAAAGGTACATTGCACCGGGCTGGCAAGAGAAGACACAGAATTGAACTTGACTTCTTACGCATTTGCTCTTCGGTCAGAGGCCGCCACGTTATACGGTGAAATTGGGTTCGCCTATATTCTTCTCGGATATACCGGTCAAGCGGGAGTTGCCTTGGCTCATGGGCGAATGTTGGTGGACTCTGGCCAATGTACTACCGAAGGGTCCACATTTTGGCAACTTTGCTACTCATTCTACTTATGTTGCATTGGCAATCAAAGCAAAAGGTTGGCTGTATTGTGCCGTTTGCATCTTCAACCCTGTCAAACTTATATTAGCTGCACCCTAATATAACAGCGAGACAACTTTCAAAAAGGTGAAACCTCCTCAACCGTCATCTCAGAAGGATGGACGTCGCCATGTCGTTTTTGGCACCTTTTCGCGGAGTGTCCACACCTCGTTGCCGGCGTTTGCATTCTTTGTGCACGCATACATATGTTTTGGATCGGTACGTGTTGAATGACAGTATAGCAACTAGAAAGAATGGCAGGGCTGAAATGTGTCATTGTAGGGAAGTCTGGCTGGGGCAATCGCAGATGCAGAGAGATGCCTTCGGCTGTTGAGCAAAGAAGTGAAATCGTTGAAGTCTCGATCGGAAGGCTTGTCCGAAATCACCAATGCAATGAGTACTCTCAGTCTGACGGGGTCTCAAAAAGGTTCCAAAGCCGAGGCGCTCTACGGAAAAATTCTGTGCTCTGCGCAATGGCATTTTGTGCATGTGAGTATTCGTGGCGGCCATTCCAATGCAGTGACCCAACTAACGGTGTCCTCCGGCTTTCCTTACAGCGCTTCTTAAGCTGTTACATGTGGTTGGGACAACTATACGTCCGGCAAGGTTCGGTAATGGAAGCCGAACATTTCTATCGCGAAGGATTAGAACTTGCAACCCTGGTCCACTCCCAAATCTTCATGAGCGCATTCTTGCTTGGCCTGGCCGAAGTTGACTATCGTTGCTATCGCTTAACTGAGTCTGCACAGCAGATTGACACAGCGGTGGAATGCCAGGAAAACGTAACGTGGCGTTCGCATCCTCCTGGCTCCGATCTTACCAAATGTTGAACACTCTACATCTACAGGTGTCGCCGGATGTGACAGTACGAGATGTTGTCCAGTCGAAGATACATAAAGGGGATCAGCAGCTTCGTGGAGAGGAGTACGACGAAGCCCTAAACTGCTTTTTAGAAGCAGAGATACTATTGGATGAGGCGATGACCGATGCGGTCATTACAAATCTCGAGGAAAAGGACTTGCGGTAATTGGCACACGAAAGATAAATCAGAATGTTTATCTGAATTAACATTCATGACTAAAACTCAGTGGTACGGAGACACCGCGGGAAAGGAAAATCATACATCTTTCACCCGCGAAGCGGAAGGCTCTCAGTTCGTCGCGACTTGCTCAAGAAAGTATGACTGCAGCCGCCCTTCGTGTTTCGCGTAGGGTCCTCACAATTGATTTTTCAGAGTCTGATATTCAGTATGAATGCGCTGTACTATCGGAAAAGAAAGTCGAAATCATATCCCGTATTGGTAAGACCTGGATTCGTCACAGTGACATTCTGACGTTAACCACGGAGCTCCCGCTAGGTTGGGCTCTCTGTAAACAAGGAAAGCTGGAGACGTCCGAGAAGAAACTGATGAGTGCTGATGACTTCCTCCATAGAGGCCTGGGACAGGTGATATTACATTTCGTTGTTCCCGTGTCCTGTGCAAATCTCATCATTGTTTTGTGTAGGCGGAATACACCGGTGCTCTAGCCAAAGTTAAACTTCAAAAGCTATTGCAAGCTTTACGGACTAATCCGTTGTTTACCATGTTTTCTGATTCTGGTTGGTTAACGCAGACTATCATTGTGTGACATGACTGGCATTGCTAACTCGATTTATTGTTCAGCTTTCTCGCTGCCCTGGTGCGTCTCAAAGCGAGTTACCACAAGTTCCTCCAGGCAAACCAAAGCATTCAAAGCTGCGGTGGCAGTCCAGCGAACCATCGCACAAGTACAGGAGTTATTTAAAGAAGCCTTTGCCTCTGTTTATCCGTACGGTTCTCCTCAACTGTGCCATGAGATATCTCACGGGCTGGCACTCTTGAATGTGATGCGGGCTTACCTGACTGGCGGTACCGATGATTCGGACGCATCGGACTTGGCACTCTCTTCAGCATTGTATTTAGGTGAGACTAACGTTTGACACTGCGCAGGGGCAGCATTGGATTAATTATTTTTGGTAAAAGAGCTGTCAAAAGGATTGACGTCAAGACGTGAAATGCTTGCATCCGTACGTGATAAACTATTGCGACGATCGGGCCAGTCATCTTGGCCTGTCCCCATGAGCGAGATTCGTGCTTCCATCACAGATGGTGAAGTGGGATCAGCCGCAACAGAAAATATTGCAGAAGAATGCACTCATGGTTCGACGATGACTATATCTGAGTTTCGTGATGACATCATAAACGCTCTTCCCGAGGATTGGATAGTCTGCTCGTTGTCCGTGGATTTGGAAAGAGAGGACATGTACCTAACCCGATTAGAAAAGGGCTCATCTCCGGTTGTGGTTCGCTTGCCATTAAAACGGCAAGCAATGAGGGAAGGAGAAGACAATGGTTTGCTATATGGGGAGGTCATCGGTGAGCTTCAGGACATTCTGACAGCAAGTAATGCAACAACCGAGAACGCGGATGCATATGTCACAAGGGAGGACAAAGCCGAATGGTGGAAGAAGCGAAAGGAGTTGGACCAGCGCCTGAAGGCTTTACTCGAGGAGATAGAACTTGTTTGGTTGGGGGCGTTCAGAGTATGTTTTGCGATCTGGCAATGACAGATGGTGTTTTGCGCTAACAAGCTGAAAACAGGGACTACTGATTACAGACGAGTACGACTCACCTTCATGCACTGATGTTCTGTTGGAATTCAAAGAAAAAGTTGAGAAGATCATTTTCAAAGCGGTGTCAACTAAAGCTGGAAGGGGGAAGCGAGCTAGCGTCTTACCCATTGATTCTGACCTTTGCCGGATGCTGCTACGGCTTGGACCGGATCCATCGCCTGACGACATTGAAGATGCTCTATTTCATTTGATGGACGCCTATCAGTACAGTGGAACAAACGTTGATTATGACGAGCTGAACATTGACTTGGTAAGTGCTGGGCCAAGAATCCTGCTCATATCAAGAACTGTCGTGGTAATTTGTTTTGGTTAGATGGAATCTGATATGAGGGATGCTCTTGTCGCGTTCCACGAGACATATCAAAACGTCATGGGCAACACTTCGGCTCGAAACAAGCCGTCACGCCATTTGATTCTGATACCCGACAAGCATCTACACATGATTCCATGGGAGAGCTTACCTGTTCTTCGAAATCGACCTGTATGCCGGCTACCATCTATTTTCTTTTTGCAAAACATCCTTTTGCAATTGAAGAAGCAAAACCTTGTCGTAGACCCGCAAAAGACATACTACCTGCTGAATCCCAGTCAAGATCTGGTTCGCACTCAGGAACAGTTTCAGGAAATGGTGACAAGGTAAGGAATCAGGTTAAGGCTGTTTCTACATTGGGAGGCGCCGCTGATGACTGTTGATTGGTTATAGTCAGGAAGGGTGGTCAGGATTAATCTCCCGCGCTCCAAGCGAGGATGATTGGGCGAGTGCGTTATCAAGCAAAGATCTATTCATGTACGTGCTGCTTATCACATTATTATGGCGACTAAATCTAATGGACAACTTCAGCTATTTTGGCCACGGCGGAGGCGAGCAATATATACGAGGCCATCGTGTACGAGAACTGGATAGGTGTGCAGTAACTCTATTATTGGGTTGTAGCAGTGGATGTTTACGTCCAGCTGGTGAATTCGATCCACATGGAACACCATTGAACTACATATTAGGGGGAAGGCAAGTGCATTGGCGTAAGATTTGATGCCCATGCGACGCTGATCTGACATCTACTTGCAGCCAAGCCATTGTTGCAAACCTTTGGGACGTAACCGATCGCGATCTGGACCGGTTTAGCTGTGCCATGTTCGAGAAATGGGGCTTGGTCACGTCAAGAGAAACAGGTCATATTGACCGCTCATCAATTGCAGAAGCTGTGACGACATCTAGAGATGTCTGCACCCTGAAGTACTTGACGGGAGCAGCGCCAGTGGTCTACGGAGTGCCGGTGTACTTGAAGAGATGAGGTGATATATTGGTTGCACTTAAATAGATGATTCTGTAAATCTAGGTAAATATATAAGACACTAATAGAAGCTATACCAAAGAAAGTCATAAGGTTTACTGAAGGATGCCTGTAACGCAGGTTGTGCTTCTTTTTGAAAAACACTCAGCAAGAGGACAGTACTCTTCAGGGGTACTTTGAATAACAATGGAGTGCCAACCCTACATACTCAATGAGCAGAAAAGCAACATCGCAGAATCACATATATTGCAACTGTACAAATATATCAAAAAATCCCAATAATAAAATGACCGAAACAGATCATCAACGGCCGTACTGCAAGTATAAGCGCGTAAGCCAAGGTACGACTACGTTTGAAGTCCACATCACTAACCTTCTGAAACTCCCACTCCCTATTATCCAATGGACACACTTGACGAGCTTTTAGCCATCTCGAGATGCAGTGGAAATGGAAGGCATGCTAGATCGGATAAGGGTTCAATCAAAATCTGGGACCAGTGCTTGCACAAAATCAGGATAGCACGTACATTACAAATGCCCCACGCGACGGTACACTCTTCACTTGTCGCAGAAGCTTGATTTGCTTGACATTCTATGCCTGTTGATGGAGATAATTAAGTTAGTAGTCATTTAGCATTTGGGAAAGAACGTAATCTTCCACGCACAGAGGTCCATGATATGGTTTCGGCAAATGGCGCAGTTATCAACCACAATATCTACATTGAACCAATGAGGGATGATATGTATGATAAATGTCATACGAGCTATCGCTTACCCCAAGCCCAGAGTGCAACAGCATTCCACTACACGGCGGAGAAAGATTATTAGGCGAGTCAGTTGTTCGCGTTCGTTGACAAAACGACGTGCCCTCTCGTCCAGCACTCGCTGTCGGATCCGCAACGACTCTTGAACCTGCCCCCATAACTTAGCTGGTACTGACCTTTTTAACTTCAAATCTCTTCTTCCCGCCAGAGACATCCTTTCCCTTTCCCTTGGCTACTTTGGAAACGGCAGTGTCTTCACTCACATCCATCACCTCGTCCACGTCTGCCGGCGTAGCCATTTTGAAAGAGAACGGATTTATAAAGAAGTCTCTTGTTCAGCTGTGGGCAATCTCTGGCGACCGTGAGATGGCAAACGATAGAGTTGGAGGCAGCATTGCAGTGAGTGCATAACGATCCGAAGAGCCACGCACCAGCCATCCAGCTGTGGCGTCGTGGCGGAGCATCCGAAAATGAGTCAAACCAGCGCTGCTTGTGTGTGTCTTTGTTGAGGTGGATCGTAAACTTCTACTCAAAAAGTGCGAGAATAAGCAGGTACGATACACCCGCATAACTCGAAGTAATGAGCTAGCGCGGAGAGGATGCAGTGTGGACAATTGGGATCTTGCATGAGTGGCAGATAGTCTTCGGCGGCGTTGACACAACATGATCTAACGTTCCATCTAGGTTATTTTATCATACCGATAAAGTAATACCATGGCTGCCACCGACAATTACGAGATGGCTGTAGATCTGGATCCCGGAGCGGATGAAATGGTGGTTGATGATGGTAAGGCCATTTTCACTCAAGTGACGTGCGTGACCAACTGCTCAACTGCTTTGTGGATCTCTCTAGTCCCAAGAGACGATACAGATCGCCTCAAATCTAATGCTACGAAACGAAAGGGTCGTGGATTCTCGGAAAGGCGTGCTGGTAGGATGACTGGATTTCGAGCTCTATAAACAAGTGGCGCTAAAGTCGGGTCTGGTAGGTGGAGTCGACAATGACGAATTTACTTCTGGGCGGTTCGAATCCTTGGAAGACACTGCCACGGGACAAGCACAAAGATGTAAGTATATAGTCAGCATCGCAAACTGGGGGCTATACAGCTCACTGCTTCCCAGCTGTTGAGGGGTGGATTGTGTTGATAACGGGTGTACATGAGGAGGCCAACGAAGAAGATGTCTCAGAAAAGTGCGCTGAATATGGCGAAATTAAGAACCTGCATCTCAATCTTGATCGTCGAACGGGTTACGTCAAGGTATGCCTTGGAATTCTGTGGAGGTACTTGGAAACGGTATATAAACACGACCATTTAGGGTTACGCATTGGTTGAGTACGAGACATTCAAGGAGGCCAAAGCTGCCATTGATGGGCTTAACGGCAGTACACTATTGGATCAAGTTATCAAGGCCGATTTTGCATTTGTTCGTGGGGCAAGTGCTAGCACAAGCGTTCAAGAGCGGGACACTAGGTAAGACTTCCGCCGTCATGTACGATCCACATGGTGTTTTAATTATATTACTTTCCTAGGCGGCATCGTCGTGGTGGTGATCGTAGAGATGAACGTCGCCGATAAGTTGTAATGGTAGTTGCACGCATGCGAGGCTGGGGCGGAACCTACCCAATTGTAGCATAGTTTGTATGGCCCGCTTTTGATCGCTACCTTTAAGGAGAGTCTTTGTGTGGTAAATGAATGATCGGTACTACTAAAGGTGACGCACACGAGCAGGGCGGCTCTTCTAGGTCATTCTTTTTTGGCTGGAGGGCTGATGCCGCGGCGAGTGTTTTGAAGGAATTATATTTCATCCCTCTCCAATAGACTGTGCTACTATACGTGCAGTTCCTTGTCATATGCGTGAAACTGCTTCAGTTTGACCTATCGTAGGTAAGCATCTACAAATTTGTGATTGTAGCAGCACATCACTTCATAAGACGACTGTCCAAGCTGTGGGTGTTCTCACTATGGACGATGGGAACAGGTGAGATACTGTTCCTAAGGACGATTGCAGGTTTTACTTACGCGAGCATGTCTTCAAACTTGTCAACTTCTGCCATGGTTTGAGCAGCTTCAGAATTCGGATCCACATAGCCTTTGTTGCGCAATTCTTCTTTATAAAGCTCCGAAACATGATGTTTGGCTGCTCCCAGAAAAGCAGCCGGGTCGCCGCGTCTGAGAGAAGATGGATTAGAATAAGCGGCTACAAAGGCTGAAACTGACCGTACTCTCTGTTCAATTCAATTGCTTGAGAAAAGGCCAAGGCGGCATCAGAATCTTTCGGAATCGTGCCCCCGTGCTTGCGAGCCTCTTGGCTATAAATTCTGCTCGCGAGATGCTTGGCCATGGTTGGAATGTCCGAGGTGGACAAGACTTCTTTTTTATTGGAAATAGCTGGTCGTGGACAATTATCAAGGTTCGATAGTGGAAGCAGATACTTGTTTCTAACAAGACAAGATACGTACGGTCTTCGTTGTGTAAAAGACTCTCCATGCGGTCTGGCCGAGTGAATGGTGGTTCTTTCGCTAAAACTTTTTCATAAGTCGGCACCACATTTCTGATACTCTTGTTGGGATTATTGCTTGCAGCACTCATGACGCAAAATGAAGCAGAGATTCCACTAGCTTGAACCAGGAAAATAGATTTATGGGGACCAACAGCTATAATAATAGGCAGCAGTCGTGAACCTGAGGGCATTTTCATTACGGCGAACCGACGATGACGAGACAAAAACTTGGTCGCGCAACTAAGCCACGAAGACCATGCTCATCAGGACAGTTTGCAGTTTGGCGGACAAGAATCCAAGGAAATTAGATACTGTCTTACGCTTGCATACTAGCCTGGACCAACAGCAACAGCGTCTAACGGTATCAATGGGATTGCTCCGTTTAGTTGAGATCTGATATGTAGACTGTCGCTCAAACCAATCTATGTGATGCTGATAGGTATGCTCATTACAAACGCCATTCAACGTGCGCCTTCACTCGGCTGTCCTGCAGCTCTTCCCATTATCTACATCTGGTACATTTCGTATTTCCCTTTGGACTTGATAAAAGTCGCTGAATGTCCACTTTCATCTCGACCCAGCTGAAACGTTGTGATAATGGAACCATTGATTGGAACCGGTGCGATTTGCTAATAATCGAACGGTCCGCTCTTGTAACGATGTCATTTGCACTTACAAACTGAACTGAGAATAACCCATTAAGTGCGTCTTCCCCGCATTGTAGTCCCAGCCGCCAAGTACCAGGAAGCATGTCTGGGGCTTTTCGGCGGCGGGGCAACAGGTTTGATGGTCGCGATAGTCCTCTCCCTCAGTCCAGGACGACGACGACAAGGAAAGGCAGGAGCTACAAATGGTCCTTTTCCCTTTTCGTCTTGGGACTTGGGACTCTGATATTAGCTTGGAAAGCACTCTTTAAACTCGATGCCGTAGCTGGACCACCTGAGAGCGTCCCCGTGGAGCGAGAAACGGCCCGTGCTGAAGTTCTCGTTGCCGAAGTGCAACCTCTGTCTTCGCCGACCATCACAAACCTGCCTTCAACGGCGTTGCAGAAAGTGCAGAAGGTCAGCCACGCAACAAATGACGCTGTGGAGACTGCAACAGTGACAAATAGACTGCCGACAAACAAGAAGTTTGAAAAGGATAATCCTGTCAGTACTACGGTGGTGTATACGACACCGTCCGTTGATCATGCACAGAAGCAGGTGGCGCATGCAAATGCCACGGAGCTCAATCAAAAGGCAGAACTTGACGACAAGCGTTCCCAGCAACAGGGCGATATGGTTAATCAAGCACGTTTGAGTAGCAACGTCAATCAGACGCTTTCGGAGGACGATCGCAAATGGCTGGAATCACAAGTGGAATATGAGCTGGACGATGACGCAGCTCAGCAGGCCCGCTTGGAAGAAAATAAGAAGAATGGTTAGCATCTATGTTTTGCAGAATGATGGACCATTGGATGTTGACGATGTATTTCATTACTTGCAGCAGAGAAGAAGAAGAAGCTGGCGCATGTTAACAAGAAGGACAATACAGCTGCCTATATATTCCCTACCTTACCGTCCTCTTCAGTATGGTGTTATGGGGAAGACCGTGCATCCCGTATCTGCCGCTTTCGCAATCTCTGCTATCTTCCCTCAGAAAAGCAGTGGTTCATCACGCAAACCAATCGTACCATTCAGTCCAATGTCCCTTTGCACCGTTTCGCTGACGGTCTCCTAGAGCTCTCCACCGTAGAGGGTCACACACTATTCCGCTTCAATTTTGTTGAAGTCAGTCCGTACAACCCGCGCTTTAGAAATCTACCTGTGCGATATGAAGAGAAGCTCCACTTTATGTTTTCTCGCTTGCATCCGAACAACATCATGCACAACTTGCACGATGACGTATTGGGAATGTATTTTGTTCTTAAGGAATTCGTCGGAAGAGGATCTCAGCGACTGGGCATGCCTTTCTCACTGGATACACACCGTGTCTTGATTTACGATGGTTACGGGGCATCCCAGGCGACGCGGCCATTCCAGTATCTATCGAGTAAGCCGCTGCGCTTCAGAGCCTATCTTGATCAAGATGAAGATATCGTTACCTGTTTCCGGGATATCGTACTTGGTAATAGCAAGCAAACAACCTGGTATCAGTACGGATTTGAAGAACCTCAGGGACCAATACGAAACAAGACGCCGAATGGCATGCTTATTAGGGAGGTGTCAGAGTGGTTTACCAGGAGAATGGGCTTGTCATTAGGGGAAGATGAACAGTACGATAAAGATTCGGGCAAGTCAGAGGCAACTGCTAATAACGCCCCTGCTGAGCCCGTTGCGTCAGTGGACTTTCCAGAAACGGATTTAATCGTTATCATGGGCCGCCGGAGCAATCGCCTCATCTTGAATGAACGACAATTGAAATCTGCGCTAGCAGCTGCATTCAACCTTAAAGTGCAGGTTGTGACAAACGAAAAACACAGTTTTGAAGAGCAGGTGGCATTTATGCGCCGTGCTCGGGTCGTGGTGGGTACGTCGCCTTGGCCGATAAAGAACCACCGCCGCCTCTGCTGTTGCTTACCCCACGTTCTTTCCTAGGTATGCATGGCAGCATCTTAGTCATGGCTATGTTTTGCAGAAGGGGAACAGTTTTGCTGGAGATGTTTCCTTTTGGTGTCCCAAGTGAAAATTACACCCCGTATCGGACCATGGCTGATCTGCCGGGTATGGCGTTGGTATATCGAGCATGGGAGGTACGTTATGACAAACATTTGTTCCCTTTCAGCAGGTTGCAGTTGGCAGAAACAGCTTAATTATTCAATTCCTTTCAGGCGTCAGTCGAGTCTGAATGTGTCCCTCATCCTGAAAATCATCCCTTACTTGGAGGCATCGAACATCTGCCTTCAGACAAACAAGTGCTAGTGCGTGAGATGAAACGTGTCCCAAAGCACATTTGCTGTGACAATCCTTTCTGGTTGTATAGGATTTACCAAGACACACGGGTGAACATTACAGAGGTTATATCACTCATTGAGTCTGGTCTTCAGGAATCCAGAGGGCTTCTTTCTACCGTGCGGGTCACAAATTGGGAAGAAACTGAACTGCTTCCACCGCCCGTGAAGGGGATCGAATGTCTGGATGGTCCCACCCGCGATCCTGGCGAATTATGGGTCAAATGGGCACTGCCTTGGACCGGAGCCGCAGTGGATCAATGGAATGTGCTTATTTCAGTTCCTGACGATGAACAAAGAGGGAGCGAACACTGGGTCCCAGGAGATAAACCAGCTTTGTCAGTCAAAGGATTCAAAGCAGGTCAGCGTTTGAGGGTTTTCATCCGGCCAGTGGTAGGCTCTTTTACTGGTGAATGGAGCAAAGGTCGGTGTATTGTTTAGAAACGGCACATAGATATCTTGTGACATAATAGAATGCAGTTATTTAAGCAAGGGGATTAACGAGCGCCCACCTAAATGCCAACGCAGGAGCGGATACTTAATTTTACTCCCGTTGCCATGCACCTGGCACATCATGCAGGTTAAAACTGAAACTGTTACATCTCATTCTGGCAAGCATGAGTTTTATCATTAATCTGTAACTCCCTTATTGTTAACAGATTATCAATCCGTTCAATTAGTATGGCTCTACATGAAATGAACTTTGGATGAGCTGATTTTCATAACGTTCGGATTTGTCGTTCAGTCAGTCTTTCTCATGCAAAAACATTCACATGTGAAGCAAGAGTTGAAAGGTCAAGCCATGCGAATAATGTACACAGTCAACTGATGCTCCTCTTGACCAGTTCACAAAGTGTGTCGTAGTCACTCTTTCTTCCCAACAAAGACAATCTCGCTTACTGTTGGATTTACTGCTCCACAATAGTTGTCGTTGACACATCCATATCGTTCATTACCAGTATGCAGAATGCGCCCATCACTCCACAATATCCAATGACATGCGTGCAGCAGACTTCTCAAATTGCCACGGAAAAGTTTTTGCGCTCCGCTTCCGGTGGCTTTGCAGTGTTTGGGAGACAAAAACAAATTAAGGTTTTAAAGCTCTCCGAAATTGCTCCATGCGTTGAGACGCGGATGCGGCCATATTCGACCATCCGCATAAGCAATCTGTCATCTTGTATATCAGCTATTTAACGAGCGAAAGGTTGCTTCCTCCCCTTCTTTCAGATTAACAGCCACTGTCAATACTCTAAAACCCACCAACAGTTGACTATGACGACCGCCAAGCCCTTTGACATCGTTGCCGCCGCGCGCAAGGATCAGCTCAAGATGCGTGACTTTTATCTAGGCCTGTTCAAAGGCGTCCACTCTGATGAAGTCATCCTCGAAGCTGCCAAGACTTTTGCCCCTAATTTCAAAGCAATTTATTTTTGGGGAGACGTCGTGGACGGGGCTGGCTGGATCGAAAAGACAAAGTGGATGCGCGAAAATTGTCCGCAGGACAGTACCCAAAAGTGTATCGAGTTGCAGTACGAGGTCGTGTGGCAGACTGAGGACCATTGTCAACTCTTTTTCAAGGAAAGTTGGGGTGGTGAGGGTCAAGATGGGGTTCTTGTCACTGATTCGACGGCGGTGTACAGGAGGGACGCTTCAAAGCCAGACGGTGTCGCTTTGCTGTACTACCAAGAGACAAAGGTAGACGCAGAGACCACCATGAAAATGTGTTAGCTAGTTGGGTAGCTAGCTGACTTGAATCATATTCCATATACCGATTGCTGCTGTTCTTGTAAATATATGCTCCATATCTAGTTGTCATGTCCCTAAAGGTTGCGTGACTTGTTCGACTCCTTTTGCTCAATTGTTCTGCCTGATATCTTGTTCCTATTAGAGTAAGCGCTTCATTTTGGGGGGAAACTGACACCAGCTCACAGGAATTAGAAACGTGCAAACAATATGCCATTCAGTAGCACAATGTTCACAAGGTTGGAAGCGCTGGGGGCGATATGTTGCAATAACAAAAATCCTTTTATAATCCCAAAAAATAAGAAGTGTCGATGCATGAAAGGTACACACTATCCTATATATTACAAATCGCCTAGGAATAGGACGTATTAATTTGTGGACACAATCAATCCGTCATGCCTTCATGCAGTGACAGCTTCGCTCGCAGCCGGTAGCGCTTCTTTGATGTTCCCGGTCGGATGACTCGCTGCCCCTTGTTGGCTTGACATAAGATTACGCATGCTGTTGGATGCCTTTGCAACTCTATTGATCGTGTTGACCGCCAATACCGCTATACACAAAACAGTCAATAAACACATTGAGAGATGCCTTATAGCCCCTCACGTACCTTTCTTGAAAGTTTTTCGTGCGTTGAAATTCTTTACAACCATAGGCATGAGATCAACTCTGGACTCGGTTTCTAACCATGGGTGTGTGAGGGCGTCCTTGGCCGTAGCGCGACGCGTGGGATCCGATACCAGTAGCTTCCGGATGAAGTCTTTGGCTGAAGAATCCGACAAAATGAGTTCGAAGATGCGATTGATGGATTTGGCGCAACAGAACCTACCCGCATCAGAAATTTCTGCCCAATACTCCTCGTCAAATTGGTAATCGCACTCTAATATCGCGCGAAATAAGCTTGTGTTTGAATTATCCTCCGCCCAAAATGGCGTGTAACCGCATAATAAAACGTATGTGACTAAGAATACGAATGTGGTTAGATGTAATACTCGTGGGTAAACATCCAGAGAAACGATAACTCACTAACTCCAATGGCCCACATATCAACGGGTTTTCCATGGCCCTTTTGTTGCAATATCTCGGGTGCTACGTTACCCGGGAGGTTATTTGGATCGTCGAGAGCGCGAAACTTTCACGTCAACGCACCAACGTAATGCGGTGTGCCGCAAGCAGTCTGCAAAAAACTGCCTTCTTCAACCATTTTTGATAAGCCAAAATCCGCTATCTACAAGTCCAAAAGGTCTGAGTGGGAACAACGGGCCTATGCCGATTTCGAAGTGTCGCACCATGAGTTCAGAGTCCTCGGCTTGATCCTTAAATAGTAGATTCTCGGGTTTCAGGTCACGGTGTACAATATCTGCACAAAGCCCGTCATTTCTTCATCAGCCAGGATCAATTAATCGTAACCACGTATATCTCATCGTACCCATATCATGTAGGTAGGCGATGGCTGTCAGAAGCTGCCGAACTAAGGCGGAGGCATCTTTCTCGGTGTAGCTCCCTTTGGTAAAGATGCGATCGAAAAGTTCGCCGCCTACACAACCAGCGGAAAGGTTGATCGAAGCTTTCTAGTTGTACACAGACTGTCGCCACACACCTGTCGCCAATTGGGTCACTAGATATACGTGTGTGCCTGTTTCATGTATGTCGCAAAGACCAATGACATTTGGATGGTTGATCCGCTTGAGCACATCCACTTCCATCCTGAGCATCTCCAGTTTCCCTGCCACATCATGCTTGTGAGTCAATTGGAAGGAATTTGACAACAATTCACAAAACTAACCTCGCAGTTGAGCTTTATCAATGATTTTAACGGCAAACTTTGCAGAGTCAGACTTTCGGGTGCATTCCTTCACTACGGCTAAGGCACAAAGACAGAGTTGGTTCGGGCCTGGAACAAATATGAATGTATTTCTTGTCTTACCAAATGAGCCAATACCCAACTGCTTCCCCATAAAATAGTGCTCGTCAAACGCAGACTGAATCTTTCCCGAATTAGACGAGCGGGGTTGAACGAGAGATCCCGACTTTGTAGGAGCTGCAAACGCGGACTCGGCATTGTCTCCAGGCAGGACGTGCTCATGCTTGCCCTTTCCTATTATCTTTGCCAGAAACTTTTTCATTTCGGTAGTTCTTGGAGGTTAAGAGCTGTAGATCACCAGTCGGGTGATATGTGCGAGCCATAGCCGCTGAGTTGGTCAGGTCAGGTGGCTGTGCACCACCATTCCACCCAATGCGGATAGCCATTCGAACCGGCGTGATGTGACGCATCCAGGAAAAGTTGCAGTTGTCAAGGACTTGTTTGGAGGCGAGCTCATCTTGCCAGTTGGACGCAGCACGGCGATTCGCTGGTTCGTACAATGTTTCCCTAGTTTTATTGTATCGCGGTGAGTGCTCATCCGTCCTGTTCTCTGCCGTGATTTAGGACCTAGCATCATGTGGAGAACACACTGTGCTGCTGCTGGCAAGCAGCGATTTTCATCAACACGGAACGGTCTGAATCGGGTAACAAATCGTTCATGCCTTCCCTGTCCGGTAAGCAACTCTCCACACAAACAGATGGAAAGGATGTATATTCACTCAGCGTTTGGTAACCAGGCCCTTCCCATACGCACTTTCGCCTCTGGCACTTCCTCATCCACATCGTCTTCGACCCCCGTTTTTAAATACACACTTGCTTTCTTGCTGGTTGCAGGTGCAGGATATACGGGTGCAGCATACTATGCACTTCACGACCCAGCTTTCCGGAAGATTTGGGTAGACAATGTTCCTGGAGGGGAAGGAGCGCTTCAAACTGTCTCCTCTGCCGCTGAAACTGTTAAAGGAACGAGCGTAGAGGAGGTGAAGAAAACGGCAGAAAACGTTCGTGGTACTGTAGCGGAGAAATACGAGAAGACTGTGGAAACTATCTCTGGACTCAAGGACGGTGCGACCAAAGGTTATCAGACTGCTGTAGAAAAAGTTCATGAAACCCAGGATGCCGCTCAAAAGAAGATTGAGAACGTAACGGCTTTTGTGAATAGCATAAAAAATGATGCCGTGGCGACATATGAAAGTGCCCACGACAAGGTCAAACAGGCGGAAGCTTCGGTACGCGGTTTTGCGGCCAGTGTAGAACAAACTTACCATAACACGGTGAATAGTGTGGAGGACACATATGAAAGCGTGAAGAGCATGATCACAGGGGAGCCACCGAAACCAAAGGTATTTATTGCGTCTACTTGCTGTCCGGTTCATTGTCCGCGCACAGAGTTGATAACATTTCTTAGCCTCCAAAGCCCGTTGTTGTGGACTCAAAGCCCCCGTCCCCTCCACCTTCCCCCATTGCAACCCCCGCTCCGCCAGCTAAATCAGCGGTGAAATTGAAGTCTCCTGAAACTGTCCCTTCCGAACCCGAGGTCAAGCTTTCTCCTAAACCGAAGAGTGAACAGGAACCAGCAGCGCTCGAGGTTGATGTCGTAGTGACGGAGGAACCAAAACAGGTTGTTGTTGAACCCGCTGTACGTACTGCTATAGTTATTGAGGACGATGCACCTGCTAAGGCGGGGGTAGTGGTTGTTACGGGAGAAGGTCCCGCTATTGTACCTGCCACTGAGAAGCCCGCGACTAACGAGCCGGTTGGAAAGTCGGTGGCTGGTGATGCATTGGAAGTCTCCTTCAAAAATATCGAGGCGGCGTTCCAAACTGCCCCCGATCGTCCGATTGCGCGAAGCCTAGCCCACTCAATCACGAGTCTGGCAGTCACACTTGGTACTCTCATTGGGTCCACCAGTGAGGAGGGAAGAGTCAAACTTGAGAAAGCTCGCAGTGAGCTTGTTGCTCTCACGAACTACCTCAATGCCTTGGAGACGGAAGAGGCAAATTTGATTCAAACAGCACTTCAGGAACAGGCTGCCAAGTTCGGGAAAACTTTGAAGAATCATGTTGAGGCTGCTCAGAAGGCTCTAGGAGATCAAAGCAGAGAGTACGAGGACAGGTTTAGCAAGGTCCTCAAGGAGGACCGCGAGCGATTGATATCTGAGCACAATGCCGAGCTGGCTGAGAAGCTTTCCAAACAGGCTAAGGAATTTCAGGCGGCCCTGGACGAAAATTTGAGAAAGCAAGCGGAGGAACTGGAAAAGCATTGGGCCAAGGAAGTGAAGACCAGAGTTGATGAAGAACGGGGTGGACGTTTGGCTCGATTGGATCATCTGGCATTGAAGTTAAAATACCTGGAGCGGATCAGCATCGATGCAGGCGAGTTGCTGGACCGGAGCCATAGACTGCACCGCCTATGGTCAGCACTTAAGGCTGTAAATGATGTCCTTGAGCAGCCCTATCAGGCATCGCTGGCAAAGGAAGTGGCTGTACTGAAGCAACTCGGGGAGGGCTTCCCTGTTGTGGAAACCGTCGTCCAAGCCATCCCGGCGGAAGTAATTCGGGAAGGAGTCCCCACCGTGTTTGACTTGGAACACAGTTTTGAAAGGGTCAGAGACTCTGTTCGGAAGGCTCAATTCATTCCACCTCACGGTGGGCCAGTTTCCTACGCAATTTCATCTGCTCTGAGTTATGTGACTTTCAGAAAGAAGGGCCTTGTTCCTGGGGACGACGTCGAATCGGTTTTGGCACGAACAGAATTCTTTTTGAGGGAGGGTGATGTGGATACTGCTGCTCGGGAGCTGAACCAGCTGAAGGGGTGGCCTCGAGCGCTGGCAAAGGACTGGTTGAAAAGCGCAAGGAGGTACCTGGAACTGAAGCAGGCTTTGGAGGTAGGCATCTAAATACGTATTGCTGCTATGGTGTTGCCATGCTAAGGAAAACATTTTTGTTGACAGGTTGTGGAAACTCATTTGAGTCTAATGAGTTTGGGGGCTGTGTGAGGTCGGTTATCGGTGTAGACAAGAGTTTCTTTGTATTTTCGATAGAGTAAATTGGCATTGGATAATATCGCTTGATATCTCATAGGCCATTTTGAAAGGTTATACCGACTCGAGAGCACACTCCCCCGTCATATGAATAAGATTATGCAACTCTAATGCTCTATACACTATGTGCCGCATCCCGCATACAAGTCAAATGCCATGACTCCCACTACAATTAGCAGCTATGGTACTCTGTCCAGCAGTAGCGACTCAATATCTGGCGAGCAAACAAATCTCTTCGATACATCGCCAAGGATATAACAAGCCGGTTTCTCCGCGTCAACCGCGACCACGTTTTGCAAGAAGCTCGTCTCAGGCCCTGGCGTAACCTGTGCATATGCAAGTCTAATGAGCTCCAGTTCTCAACAATAGATCGCGAAGCGATACTCACGTCAAACATGATATTGCCCATTTTTAGCTTCATCTTGCCCGATCGATATAGCACCAGTTTGCCCACTCTACCATCGGGACCAACTGACTTTTGCGCCGCATCTGGATCGGTTTTTATCTTTGGGTCTGCCTTTACGTGCACAGGCCGTGAGTCTGTGGAGACCTGTGCTTCGACCACTTCTACGCCCAAAGCGTCGAATTTCGGGAGAATTGAGGGGAATTGAAAGAACAGCATTTGATTTTCCTAATAGTATCTATAAGCAAAAGCCATCAAAATGAAGCAAAAAGGAATAGATACCTCGGGTTGGACGAATTCCGCAGGAGGTCCCATTTTGGGTTTTTCTTCAACATCCATCGCATCCACATCTATATCTGCGCTCACATCAACGTCAACCGGTGCTGGTGGCGGTATCATTTGGTTGTCCGTGCCCTCCTCTATCTTGACCGATACGGAGGGCCGTCGTCTTGCATCCCGTACTCGCTGTCGTTCCCGCTTCAGTCTTTCCATCTTTACATGTTTCGGCCCACCCATCGTAACAGGGGCCCACACATCATCTGGATCAAATGATCCGTCGTCCTCTGCTTCATCTTTGCGCTCACTCCGTTGATGAGCATATTCCACCTTGTTGAGATTTGCTTCAGCTGCGGAGGCTCGACCGGGGGTTGCAATTACCCCTGGATACAGTAATCATCAGTCCATGACAGGATACCAAGGATTAGCCCGCGGCAACTGAGTTTACCTCGTTGAGCAGGACCAAAGGCAAAAGGACCCGACGCTGTCAAGGTTAGCTCTTGTCGCCGTGATTGTCCTATGTATATTGATAAGTATGATGAGTGCGGGAACTAGTATTGCTCTCAGTAATCTGATACCGACCTCGTGGTTTCCGAGTGTCGCTCCCAGGTTGGCGGTGAGATCTTTCATCTCTTTGAGGTTGCTCTGGAGTACTAATAGGATGTGTCTATCAGTAAGGCATATTGAGGTTTATCTTGCGATAAAAGGAAGGGCTGACGTACGGATCTGCCTTCTTTCTTCTGGCTGGAACAGTTGGTGCGAACTTTGGCTGCAGGAAATGTCATGGATGTTAGCCGCTAGCTATAGGAGGCCCCCAGCATTCTTAAAATACCCTTGGCGTAGGATTTGCCCCTCCAGCAATAGGAACAGATAGCTCGCGTGGAGCTCTCAATGAACCCAGTCGTCCTGTTGTTGTACTGGGAAGTACAATCTCCAACGTTCCAGGCTGTCGCTGTGTATCTGCTTCAGATGTCGGGGATACATCAGAACTTTCAGGGGCGCCATTGTCCGCTGTGGATGAAGGGGTCTTCGAAGAGCGAGTTGCAGGTCTTCGCCGTCCCGTCATTGTAAAGTGAATGTCGTTGGTAGATCGAAGGCCCAAACTTGGATCTTCAGCTGGTTTGTTACGCTGGCAGGCGATGGCACAGCAATGGTTATGCATTGGAACCATTTGATTCTCCATTCACAGTCCCCCAGCCAAATCGCTTGCTTGCTTAACGGGTTTCACCTGCCTTCTGAACGACGACAATCCCCACAATCCGAAATGCTTGCACGGACACTTGCGCACGGACGTCGCGCTGCGACAGCATCGTCCGTCTCTGCAACTTGCTCACGACGTCTCCTCGCCACCCAAAAACAGGTGGTTCCCCAAGCGGCCAACCGGGCCGATGTCTGGAGTGCTCACCAGCAAAAGAAGAGTGTCGCTATGACCGGACCGCGATTCGAACAGACCGATTTTTCCCTTCAGGTTTGTTAACAGAGAGATATTTCGGTAGGCTGTAAGGAGCTAGAGGTTAAGGCTAAGATATGCGTTTAGCCAAATCCGCTATCCGCGCAAGAGCTGATTGACAAAGTGCCCGTTACGTTTGTGGAGGCCCGTCGTGTCGCTTGTAATGGAGGTAATAAAATCCTTAGAATAGGAGGGCACGAGAATTCTTGGCTGAAGTTCGCACGCACATTTTAGGTGGCGGCGCTTTGGGACACCCACAAGTTTGGTTGAACTTGGTATGTGAACAGTTGTGCTGTTTTTAGACCACGTCCTATCATACTCATCAGCAACCATCGCCATATCTTAGGACAAGGATGAACCTCAAGCTTGCGGTGGGTGCAAAAACTGATACAGATTGGCATATTTGCATTCCGCTCATAGTTTTCCGGGATATGCTAGGCTACTGTGGTCTTCGATTTCAGCAGAAGCATCATCACTAGCGTGTCCAAGTATTATCAATCGTCAATAAAGGTGTTAGATCTTTAGAACAGTCTTCACACTCAAAACAATATGAGGGTTTGCGGCAGGCGTATGTGTGCACGGCGCATTGCTCTTAGTAAGTTTATATCCCTCAAAATACACCGTCATCCTCATTTCGATATCAAATGAGTTTCTATCAAAATATGCAAAACCGTTAAATTTATCCCGAGGGAGGATGAGAAGCTGACGCGATCTTGGTTGCACGTACCTTTGCTTGGAAGAACCTCCTCAGGTACATGACCTGCCAGACGCCAGAAGAGATGACAACACCCATAGCGAGAATGTTGAACCACTTTACCCTCGAGTTTGTGGATTCTTTATGAGGAAGCGGGATTTAGCTCAATACACGGATATAGATAGCGGATGACGCCCGTACCATTGACATCGCGCATCAGCATTTCCCTCTCTTTCAAAACCTCCATTTGCCCAGTGATTTCCGTCACCACCGCTTCCAGCCTTCGAAGTTCCACTTCGACAGGAAGCAGTTTCTTTTGTCGGATCTCTTCGGATAGATCCATGGCCTCCGCACCAGTGTCCACATGAAAGCTTATGAATAGCTTTGTGTCAGGCCCAGGATGTTGCCCTAGAATGGCCTTCGTTAGTCTGTCACCTAATCTGCAAGAAAGTGTTCTGCCACACCCACCTGATTCCAGAGTATTGGTGAAGCAGAAGTACACAGCTGCGTCGTCGTGTGTTGTGAAGGCAAACTTCTGCTCGCCAGACGCTCCCCTTTTGTTCCAGTACTTGTTATCGTGTGGTTTATCGAATACTTCAATATCTACTCGTTGATGCTCTCCATCACCAACCACGACATTGCCTACGACTAGTTTGTTGTCTCCAATGTACTGAATCACACAACGCTTTGTCCCAGGCGAATGCGCCGCTTGGAGGTCAAATTTGAGCGCGTTGGACAAGGAGCTGAATAGCACAGCAATGCACACTAGCGATGCCGCTGTCCACCGTGAAAAGTACATCGCGTCCTGTGGGTGCGTAGGAAGAGGTCGGTGAAAGATGTTGAACGCTGGTTGACGTGCAACGGCCTTTGAAACAGGCGAGATCGTTGGACAAACCATTATTAACCAAGTGCATTCCAATGCAAACAAATCATTCTGATTGAAAAGTTGAAGTTGGAAGCTGCAAACCAGCTCGGTCCCGCAAAGAAACATGGGACCTGTGGCAGCAACGACTTCACCAGGAGGATTGACGTCTGTACAGTCCTTGCATAACGAGCAAGTGAACACAAGTCAGAACGCTATGGGTACAGAGGTGCAAGCTGCCGAAAATGCGGGGGAAACACAGAAGGATTTACCAACTGGAGGAGAGAAGAAGACAAAGGCGGCGATAGAGACTGTTCGAGGGAAACCTGTTTCGGGTAGGATATCACAAGCAAGGGCATGTCTTTTGGACCGCCACTTATGATATTGTTCAGGCCGCGCATGGAAAGTAACGCAAACAAAGCGGCATTCTGCCATGAGGCCAAAAATGCTCCGACCAGGCAAGTATTGTGTTGTCCTGTCAGGCGTCGACCTGCATTCAAATTCCGTCAAAGCTTGGACTGACACCTCTATTAGGCTGGGTAAAGCAACAGGAAGATAGAAAGAAACGCGAGATTGTAAAGACAATCGAAAAAGAATTGAAAGACCAAAAGATTGCCGCAAAACAAGTACGTTCTTGTCATGTACAGATTCTTAAGAGTCCTATATCATCTAACAGCCTATCACCTTACTCTTGTCTTTTGTTCAGAAAAAGAGGGAGGAGGAAAAGGAGCGACAGAAGCGAAAAGAGGAAAATGAAAAGCGTGCTGAAGTAGTCCAGCAAGTACGTGTAAACACACTGAGATTGCACAAACAGACTACCCCGATACTAAATACGCTCTTTTCGTCTGAATAGGTATCTGCAGCGAAGCTGAAGCGGATGAAAAAGAAGCAATTGCGCCAGCTCCGCAAGCAATAGAAACGCAATTATCAATCACCGACTATAATCCTGTACATCTTTCTTTTCTCCATTCTACTTGTTACTATCCTTCTTATTCTTGTAATTTATCATTCTCAACATTGCTTATTGACCTTGTATGCTATCGTCCAGCGTTCATTGCAATCCGCACTTTGTTTTGTTTGTAATCTGAATTTTTTTTGTCGAGGCGCGTCCTTTAGTCATGACCAAACCCAGATCTGTTGAAGAGTAGGCCAGCAGTCATTTTTGGCTCAATTTACAAAATGACGAGATCACTAGAAAGCCTCGAATGGTCGCTAATATTGGGCCGGCTACCAACAGAAGCGACACACACACCACAAAGTTCCCTCGTGGATCTCATCATTCATGGCCATTATCACAAGGCTTTACAGTCCCAGGCCGCCGTCGAGGTGTTCGGAAGTAACGTCGACATTGGTTCTGATGATATACGGTGTATAACAGAAAGCTTTGGTAGGTCGGACGTATAGGACTGATATGCATGTGGTCAGGTATCTAACATCTTGGTAGATGCAACCCCTTTTATACTCTCTCGGTTGAAGACCTACCTGGCGGACACAGAAGGAGGTCAATTCGAACGACAATTTGAAGTACTCTGTGTAGGAGTGGCTTGTTTGTATGCTTTTCTTCAAAGTGGATGGACTGGTCCACGTCTGAACATGGAACCAGTGGACATTCTCCCCGAAGCTGTACACAAATATGTAAGTATTACGGAAAATGCGACATTAAGTCTATATGTATGTTGCTGACAGCTGTGTTAGTCTGAAGACTTACGGAAGAAGGCATTGGAGAATTTAGTTGAGGATGGCGAGGAGGTTTACTCATTGACTCCACGACCCTTGTTTTTGGTCTATGCCAAAGTCATTCTGGTAGATGGCGCTAGCCTACTGTCGGATCTGAAAGTATGCATCAATGATAGTAGGCTCTGAGCGCCCTCTCTCATCGTTGTACTGTTATACCTAGAGTACATCCTGGTGGCGGGCGCGTACTCTATTCACTCAGCAGAAGCTCTTGGAAAACCCAGCGGCGACTTTGTGCGACGATATCCTCGCATCCTTAGAGCAAGGTTTTTCAATGCTTTCTCCTACGGTCTCTTTTTGCTATCGTTCCTAATTCCTGTCTTTCCATAGTGGCCGCAGACATTCCATCAGAAGATGATACCAATGGCCGGTATGCTTCCTGTTATGATTTATGGTGCCTTTGGCCGCATACTCATCCTCTCTTGGGATAGGGAACTGCGTACTAGGTACAATCTTGAACTTGGCCTGGTCCATCATTGGTATAAACAGGATAGCAAGTCGGTGGTTGGTATTTAAGATTGATTGCACCAGTCCTGCGTCGATGCTTACTCGAATCAACTTTCAGCCGTACCTTGAGGCTGCGCAAGCAGCTAGCAGGTTCAAGTGGACCTTGACTGGTGCCCTTGGGAAGCGTACAAAGTTTCAAGAGTTTGACGTCTCCCAACTCGTGGTAATGGCGGAAAGTGCCCAAGATGTGGAAGAAACCAATGACAAGGAACATGGAACTCAGTGCCAACCCAAGACGTTGGCGCTGAACGATGATACATTATTGGAGACTATTGAATTTACCCAGGATGCCAGTCAAGAGGGTCAGAGTGCCGCAACGCAGGGCAACCTGAAGGTGATTGATCAATGTATTCTTCTTGCGTTCTGGTAAGCGAAAGCTCGACGGTCAGGATGTACGACTCGAACTTATCAATTTTGGCAGTTTAAATGTCAAAAACACGAATCCTGCCCATGGTCTGACAACAGAAGAGATGTTGCCGTATGTGCGGGTGAGTGTCTGCACGTGGCGTCAGTGCAAGACTCTTTCTCTAATGAATTTGCTGTGGTTGTCCTAGCGCGTATTGGAAAACGCTAACAACTGGATGGTTCACACGATGGGGTTACTTTTGAGGTCTCGCCTGGAGAGCAACAAATCCCGCACTGTGGAACGAGCGGCATTACAGCTGCAGGTACGCGGCAGTTGAACGAAACGCTGAGGGCTCAGAATATTCACTGGCTGACACATCATATAGGCACTTGTCGACCAGTTCCCTCTGGAAGAGTCGTCCGTATCTGATCGTATGCTGCACATCTTTTCAATAATGCTTCCCGCGAAGTGGGAAATGGAGGTAAGCAACGCTCCTCAAGAGGAGAGGCGGTGCACTATGTGTGAAATCCTAGCGTATTGGATGATGCGATGCATTCATTCGATGTTGTTGTCAGGGGGGCGCGAGGGTTCTACTTCATAAAGGAGTTGCTATGATGAAACTTCACGTTCACTGTGTGAGAGAAGGCCACAATGATGTTGATGTCATTGCACCTCAAGGCTTTCGCCTTTGCTTCCGATTAGGAGCACATGTTACTGGCTGGCGACGTAAGATATTGACTGCGCACGACGGAATACTAATGAAGCCTTCTTCCGTATTTGCAGCGGGAGCTTGCCGAGCGCTTTGTTTCCCTTGGTGTCACCCGTACAGCTTTAGAGATCTTTGAACGCTTGGAGCTATGGGAAGATGTTATATCCTGCTATCAAATGTTGGAGCAGGACAAGAAGGCCGAGGCTCTTGTTCAGGAACGACTAAAAATAACACCAAGATCACCCAAGCTCCATTGTATACTGGGCGATTTGAAGCAAGATCCATCGTACTATGAAATGGCTTGGAAACTATCAGATGGAAGATATGCTCGTGCCATGCGATCACTTGGAGCTTATTACTTCAAGCGGAGTGAATGGGTCAAGTCAATCGAATGCTACCACCGTGCACTCGCAATCAACTCATTATTTGAAAACTCGTGGTTTGTGATGGGTTGTGCTGCTATGCGGGCGGAAGATTGGGACCAAGCGGTTAGGGCGTTCAGCCGTGTGACATCACTTGATCACGAAAACGGTGAAGCATGGACAAACTTGGCGTCTGTCTACGTTCGACAAAAGAAGAAGCGAGAGGCTTGGCGAGCTCTTCGCGAAGCTATCAAGCAGCATTTTGACAATTCGAAGATTTGGGAAAACTATTTGTACACCTCTATCGATCTCGGGGAATTCCAGGAAGCTATTCACGCCATGGAGCGAGTGCTGGATACGAGGTGGGATAAGGCAGGCGAAAAAGAGAACGTAGTTGACGTCGAGGTCTTGGACATTCTGGTGAATGCAGTGGTGAATGATATCGCAGACGCCAAAGGTCAACCAGCTTCCCGACTGTCAAGCAAACTCAATCGGCTGTTGAATTCTATAACATCAAAGGTTGCCACGAACCCAGCAGTTTTTAGCTGCGTAGCCAAATTTGCTGCCTCCCGAGGATTGTACCGTCGTGCTCTTGATTACCGGTTGAAGGCCTATCGATGTCTATTACATCACCCACAAATGGCCGATGATGAATATGTCTTCAAGATGACGGTCGCAAAAGCACTAGAGTTGGTAGATGCATACGTTACGGATGGACCACGTATGGAGGCTGTTCGAATGGGAGCTACAGAGGATGACCCTGGTAAGGGCGAAGAGGCGCGGCAGGAAGAAATGGTCTGCAAGGATTGGGCCTATCAGGCGAGAATGGTATTGAGGACATTGATTGGGCGAACAAAGGTGAGCGCTGATATGGCTCAACATATTTGCATGCAATACTGGTGCTGAGACCTGCAATTAGAGCACATTTGAAGATCATCCGCAGCATGATGAACTGAAGGGTAAACTACAAGAGATTACCGAACTAGCACGGGCGTGAGGTTGATACAGTTTGCATTGCATTCATTAAAGAAGGAAAAGGCTTTTCAATGTATAATAGATGTGGCAATTCTGTCGCCTTTCATGTATTTAATACAGCATAAATATGACGGTCCTTCCATCTTGTGGCTGGGCACGATAATTAGCACTTACGTAAGCCCTCGATCGCGACGTGTTCAGCAACTTGCAGCTCTACCCGTTCAACCTCATAACAAGACGTGCACCCGCTCACACTCCGCTCATCTTTGAAGGTATTGGGAAACCATTCTTGATTTCATTTTTAGCACCATCTAAATTGGGTGTCAAGTTCTTGTCACCTTTGACCGGCTTATCAATTGGATAGGTTCGTGGTGCACACAGTAAGCCTATTATGAGCATTCACACGGATTTGATCTGCGATTAACCTCCATGGACAGGGCAATTGCGGTTTGCAGCTGCAAGCAGAATGTCCTCCGATGAAGGTGACATGTCTGTTCCAGAGACGGACTGGGAAACTGATGGGGATCCGCTTCGTGAAACGATCATGTCCGGATCTGAGCCTGATTTGCAGGATATGCCCGATCTCACAGATCAGGATGAATATGACGATGGCGAAGATGAATTCTCAGACGGTCCTCCAAGTCTTGTCGACGATAGTGAATCTGGTGACGCTTCCGGAGATGAGGCCAGTTCCCTCTGGACTATGCCAAAATCCGTGCTAACCAAGTCCGAAGAGACGGAATATATGACAGCCCTCTCTGCTGAACGCTCCTTGAAAAAAGCCCAGAAGCAGCTCAGCCAAGAGGTAGAGGAGAATTCCGATGAGCAAGAAGAGTACCTTCGGCAGAAAGAGGAAGAAAGACATCAGATACGTAGACTGGAGCGTGCAAAGCGGCGTGAGGCGCGACGAAAGGCCACTCAGGAGCAGCATGTTGATCCTATTGCCGAAAGCGTTACCAATGCAATGGTTGCTTTTCATCAAGGCAAATGGACCATGTCGTCTTTGTGCTTTGCGACTGCGGTC